TGCACAGTCAACCACGACATGGCGTGCGATCAGTCCATCGCCTCGAGCGACGCGATATGCGAGTGCGCTGCGCTTGCGCCGCTCTCTCCGGGCTGAGTGCCGCGCATGGCGGCAGTGGCGCGGGGGGGGGGTGGAGGAGGGTGAGGGGAGAGGAAGAGGGGCGGTGGTTCGCCTCGAGGGTAGCCCACCGCTCGGCGAGCTGCAGCGTGCGCGGCGTGTAGAAGATGTGGTCGAGCGCCCACTCAACGCAAGGCCCCTAAGGCCAGGTCAGGTCAAGGACGCTTCTCCACACACACGAAGGTGGTGGGGCGAGGGCCAGGCTAGCCCTCGCGACTCCACGTCTAGACAGGCAGGAGCCCCACGGCATGCAAAGTGCAAGGCCCAGTGCGCGTGGTTGAGCGGTGTGTGTGCGTGCGTGTGTGCGTGTGTGCGTGTGCGCGTGTGTGCGTGGGTGTGTGGGTGCGTGGGTGTGTGGTGTGCGTGTGGGTGTATGTCAGTGGGTGTGTGCGCGCCTCCCTAGCGCCGTGCGCGTATGCCGCGCGGGTGCCGCCCGTCGGCACTCGCGCCTAGCCACACCTCTGTGTCTGGACGCGCTTCTGTTTCTCTCGCGGCGGCCGCCCGTCGACTCACGCGCCAAGCGCACGCGGTGCGCAGAGGCGCAGCCGGCCGCAACCTACTCTCGGACACTCTCGTGTCACCTCGCGCCGCCTCGCGGGACGCAGCCTGCGCACTGTCGTCGCCACACCGCGCGCAGCTCCTCCCACGCGGAAAGCTGTGCGGCCGTCGGCATGCCGCCGCCCCCCCCTCCCTCGCCGCCCCCTCCCTCGCCGCCGCCTCCCTCGCCGCCGCCTCCCTCGCCGCCGCCTCCCTCGCCGCCGCCTCCCTCGCCGCCGCCCAGCCGCAGCGCGCTCGCGCACTCCCTCGCGATGTCCTCTGGGGAGGGCTGCGCCGCCGCGGCCGCAAACGCGCCGACGCAAGAGCCGGGCAGGCACTCGGTGTTCATGTCGCCGCACACAATCAGCTCGCGTGTGCCGAACGCACTCGCCTGCTCCACGCAGCGCGCAAACGCCTTGACACGCTTCGCCTCGTCCGTCGCGTCCAAGTGCACACTCGCCACCGCCGTCGGGCCAAGAGCGGCGATGGCGCCGCCCTCGCGCCCGCGCACAACGACCTGCACGCGTGTGTTCGAGCTCCTCTTCCCGTCGTCGAGCACGCAGAGCCGGTCCGAGCGCACAAGCACGGCGTTTCCGACGGCGACCTCGTGCCGCAGCACGCGGAGGTTTCGGCTCGCGATCTCCGCCAGGTCGCGCTGCGGCGGCACGTGCAGCGCGTAGCCGTCGAGCCGCAGCCAGTCGGGCAGCGCAAAGACGCCGTCCGCGCCCGCCTCGTACTGCACCTCCTGCAGGCAGATGACGTCGGCTCGCGACGCCTGCAGCTCCGCTCGCAACCGTGGCCGCCTCACGGCCCAATCCAGCCGCTGGGCCGCCGGCTCCGCCCACTCGAACGCCGCGAACGCCTGCACGCTGCCAGTGCGTTCGTCGACCGGCCGCACGTACAGGGGCGCGAGCAGGTTGTACGAGAGGACAGAGAGCCGCGACAGGCACGCGTCGAGCGCCGCGCCCTTTGCGATAACGCCCATCCACTCGATTGGCCAGAGGCTGGTGTCCGGTACCCGGGTATTGCCCCGCGGCGCCCTTCACCTTCTTTTGGCGGGCAAGCGTCCGGCAGCGTGGCCGTTGAGTATTTGAGCGACCCAGCTCGAGGGTTGCTCTCGACTCTGGCCTTTTCGGGTCACGTAGCCACACCTCGCCTCCTCGGTGCGAGTGGCTGCCAGTTCGACTCTGGGGAGGATCGAGCGATCCAGCTCGAGGGTTGCTCTCGACTCTGGCCTTTCGGGTCACGTAGCCACACCTCGCCTCCTCGGTGCGAGTGGCTGCCAGTTCGACTCTGGGGAGGATCGAACCATTAACAGGCCCGGCGAGAGCCGGACGTTGACATTTTTTCTAAGTTTTTTTCATTTTTTTGAGCTGATTGCGTCACGGCACCCCGTACGACTTCATTGCGCACCTCAGCTCGGTTGAGCGGTACGATCCCGCGACAAACATGTGGGAGACAGTAGCGCCGATGTCGGGGGGGATGACGGGGCGGGGCTGCCACGGCGTGGGAGTACTCGAGGGCAAGCTGTATGCTGTGGGAGGAGTGGATTCCGACGAGTATGGCGAGGGCACCCTCAGCTCCGTCGAGCGCTACGACCCGGCGTTGAACGTGTGGGAGGCGGTGGCGCCGATGGCAGAGAAGCGGTACGGTCACGCCGTTGCGGTGCTCGAAGGCAGGCTGTACGCTGCGGGCGGGTGGGATGACAGCTTCAGCCCGCTCAACTCGGTCGAGCGGTACGACCCTTACTGCGAGAGGGGTAAAAAAGAGCAGGTCCCCGCCCATGGGCGATCTTTGTGCAGGGTTCTTGCTCGAGGTTCTTGAGAGAGATTTTAGGAAACCAACAAGATATCTCTAGTTCTTTCGGTTCTTTGACTTTGTGGGAGAATATTGTGATAGGAACGAGTGTATCGCTTTGACGGATCGACCGTGCTTGTTATCAAGACCGATGTGACGCACACAGTGACACATCAGACGACACATATTCTCCCACCCGCCGGGACGCAAAACGCTCTCGACGAGAGCCACAAGAAGGCGTCCGCACAGCAAGCCGCTCGTCGGACAGGCGTGCTCGGCTGCTCGCTCGATGCCGGCGAGCGCATTGCGCACGCTTTGGACGGTGGCGAAGCCAAAACACCGATGGTGGCCGTCCGCTGGCGTGAGCGGCGGCGGTCGAGACCTCACCCTTCGCGCCGACGACCCAACCTCACGGGGAACAACCCAACCCAACCAAAACCCAAATGAAAAAGAAAACAACCCCCTGAAAGCACTCAGGCTCGCGATCAACATTGATGGTGATTGTGCTTTGCTCCGACGCGGTCGTGCTAGCGGCTCATCGAGGGGACGAGGAGGCGGTGCTGGCGTGGCTCGAGAGCGGCGGGCGGGTCGACGCGACGTACGGGAGAGACGGCGTGAGCGGCCTCACGCTGCTGATGGGCGCCGCCCACTACGGCCACGAGCAGGTGGTCGACCTGTTGATTCGGCGCGGCGCGAAGGTCAACCTGCAGAGCAGCGACGGCGGTACCGCGCTGATGCTCGCCGCTGGCAACGGCCACGAGCGGATGGTTGAGTTGCTGATACGGCGCGGCGCTGAGGTCAACCTGCAGAGCAGCATCGGCGCCACCGCCCTGATGCTCGCCGCCCAGAAAAGCCGCGAGCGGGTGGTCGAGCTGCTGCTCCAGCACGGCGCTGAGGTCAACCTGAAGGACAGCAAAGGTTACACCGCGCTGATGCTCGCCGCCCTCCACGGTCACGAGCGGGTGGTCCAGCTACTGATTCGGCGCGGCGCGGAGGTCAACCTGAAGGACAGCGACGGCTTCACCGCACTGATGCACGCCGCTGGCAAAGGCCACGAGCCTTTGGTCGAGGCGCTGCTGCAGCACGGCGCTGATGTCAACCTGCAGGGCAGCGGCGGCTTCACCGCGCTGATGAACGCCGCTGGCGGAGGCAGCGAGCAAGTGGTCGAGCTGCTGCTGCGGCACGGCGCGGAGGTCAACCTGCAGTACAAGAACGGTGGCACCGCCCTCATGAGCGCCGCCTACAGCGGCTGCCCCGCCGTCGTGCTCCGCCTGCTTCGGGCTGGCGCAGATGCAAAGGCTCGCGCTGCAGACGGCAGGTCCGCGCTGCAGATCGCCAAGGCGGAGGCGGCCAAGGTGCTAGCTACCGCCGACGCCGCCAGTGCTCCTGAAACGGACCACGCCGGGTGCGTGCGCGCTCTCACAGAGCACGCAGCGGCGCTGAGGGAGGCGGAGGCGGCCGAGAAGGCGGCCGAAAAGGCGCTTGAGGCCAAGGGGCGGCGCGAGCAGCGCGAGCGGGAGGCGGCGGCGGCGGCGCGAGAGCGCGAGCAGGCGGCACGACAGCGCGAAGCAGAGCGAGCGGCGGACGAGGCGCGCCGGGCGGCGGGTGCGGCGGCGCTGGAGGAGCAGAGGCGAGCCATTGCGGCGGAGGCGGAGGCGAAGCTGGCCGCTGAGCGAGCGGCAGCAGAGGAGACGCTGCGGGCGAGGGAGGCGGAGAGGCTTGCGGCGGAGGAGGCGCAGCGAGAGGAGCAGCGGGCGGCCGCGGCGGCGCGCAAAGCCGCTCAGGTAGAGGCGGCGCGGCGCGAGAAGGAGGCTGCTGACAAGAGGGCGGAGGAGGAGAAGGCGAGGTGGCGCGCAAAGGCGGCGGAGGCAACGGCGGCCAAGAAGGAGGCCAAGGCGAAGAAGAAGGAGGCCAAGAAGGCGCCGTCTGCCTGCACGCTCGAGGAGGAGCGGAGGGCGAAGGCTGCGGCAGAGGTTCGCGCACAGGAGGAGAGGGCGGCGCAGCTGGCTGCTGAGCAGGAGGCGGCGAGGCGGGCGGAGCGCGAGGCGGCAGAGCTAGCGGGTGCGGCAGAGCAGGCGGCGCTGCGCGAGGATGCGGAGTTGGCAGAGGCGCTGCGCCGGTCAGAGGTGGATGCAGAGGAGGCGCTGGTGCGTCGGGTGTCGCGGTGCGAGGAGGCGGTGAGCAGCGAGACGACCGGCGGCGGCGGGGACTTGCTGCGGCGTGTCGAACGGCTGGAGGCAAGCCTCGGCACGGCGACCGAGGGCAGCCTCGAGGAGCGGGTCGGCGCCATCGAGCGCTTGATCGGGTCAGAGGCGGGAGAGGCGGCGGAGCAGCATCTGCCAGTCACCGAGCCGTTTGCTGCCGTCTCACTAGCCGACGCCGGCCTCGACACGGGGCGGCCGGCTGCCCCCGAGTCCACGATGGGGGGAGAGACCACGTGTATCGTGTGTTTCGCGAGAGTCAAGTCGCATGCTGCGGTTCCGTGCGGGCACTTGTGTGCTTGCGGGCCATGCTCTGAGCTGATGCGAGAGTGCCCTTACTGCCGCGAGCCAGTGATGATGTGGATGGTTCCGCGTCCGGTCTAGGCGTCTAGATTTGTACTAACTGAATTCCAACATGTTGTATGCCGGCCTCTTCGACGACCCATAAGGGGCCGTCGCCTGCTGTGCGGCATTTCTAGTGCCCGTGTCCGAGCCCGCAGATTCCAGATAGGCCAGAGCGCAGTCTGCTGTGAGAGGGGCTTGTATCGTTAGAATATTCTTCGGCAGGCGGCGGACCAGCTGAGTAACAAACTTTCGCACGCTCAGCACCTCGATGAGGTCACATGGACCACCAAGAACTGGCACGGGCTGCAGATGCAGCGCTTGTCTGTCGTTCTCCACACCGCCGTGGCGTGGCAGACGGTGAACGAGCTAGCGTGCGGGGACAGCGGCATTGTGCACGGAGCTAAGTGCATTGCCGTTCTTAACGGAGTCGCTTAGGCGGCTCCGGTGGTGTGCCGGTGATAGTACTAGCACGCGCCAGTTCGCACCTGTGTCGAGCCTGTGTCCTGTGAGAGAGAGTTGTTTGTTTAAATTCTTCTTCCGTCTGGTGTGCCGGTGTGTGCGCTAGTCTCCCCGCGAGTCCGCGCCCTTGTCGTGTCAGAGAGGGTGGAATTCTATCTAAAATATGTGTATCGCGCGGCGCCTATCTAAAATTCGACTTAGGGAGCGGTTCAGCTGCTGGGCGGGCTTCAGGGTGGTGCTCACGCGAAAAGGAATCGACGCGATGTACAAAGCATACAAGAAGAGGAGAAAGAAGAGGAGAGGCGCCAGTGATGACGAAGCTGAAGCTAGTGCAGACGAGGGCAGGGCAGACCCGGGGACGGCGGAGTCGGACCCCATCGGGAGGACGACCCCGGGCTAGTCGCCGACCACACCCACAAAGAACCCTGCACAAAGATCGCAAGGGCGGGGACCTGTTCCTTTTTACCTAGTAGAGAGGTGTCGTTTTTATTTATTACGACTCTTTCTTTATTTCTGAAATCTGAAAAAAAAACAGTCCACCGCGTCGGCTACTGACGTCCCGCTAGGTACCCGGCCACAGTCGTCGGCAAAAATGGCCGACGGCAAGCGCTTCGCTTTCGTCTTCACCACCGCATCCGGCCACACCAATCCCTCCTTGCCAATCGCGCGCCTGCTTGTCGGCCGCGGCCACGAGGTGATCTACCTCTCTTCGGCCGTTTTCCAGACTGCGATCGAGGGCACCGGCGCCGCGTTCGTGGACGAGACAGCGGTGTTGACCGACCTCTATCACTCCGGCATGGACAACTTCATGCTGATGTTCAAAGGACTGGTGACTGAGTTTGGGTGCGAGACGGCTCCTTTCGTCAAGCAGCAGCTCAAGGTGAAGAATGTCATTGTCGAACGTCAGCTGCCCGGCCTCATCCGGTTCCTCAAGGAGGCCTCACCTCCATTCGACGCCGTGGTCTACGATCCCATCATGATGAACGCGGCCGGCATCGCCTGCCTGCTTCTCGACCTTCCAGCTGTGGCTCTGCTCACGGTCGCAGGCCCAGGCGCGGCTGAAGCGCTGTACCATGACCTGGCCGGCAAGGCTGGCATGCGCCTGGAGGATCTTGACCGAGAGTACCACGAGGACGAGACGAACACGGGAGCCATAGAGCGCATGCGGGCGCGCTATCCAGGGATCTTCTTGCCTGGCGCACACCCATACTCGCTCCCGATGACGCACAGCTACGTGGGCGGGCGTCGAGCAGCGGCACTGGTGACAACGATCGAGCCCCTCTGCGACACCATGAGCAAAGAGATGGCTGCAGCGCTGGAGGAGCTGCAGATCCGTTTCTTCTACATCGGGCCGAGCCTCGACGTTGAGGGCGCAGTGCGCGCTGGGGGCTTCAAATCTACAAAGGAGGAGGGGGGAGGGGTGGGCGAGGTGGAGGGCGCGCCGTCTCCGACGCCGCTGCCACCGTTCCGTTCGGATGTGGGAGACACGAGCGGCGCGGCGCTCGCCGCCGTACGGGAGGCCAGCGCGCTGGGCGCCCCAGTCCTATACGTCAGCCTCGGCACCGTGCTCACCTCCGACCTGCCGTTCAACGGATGGAACAGCCGCGAGAAGGACGGCGCGCGGGAGTTCGGCATCACCGGGAAGCAGCTCGTGCAGAGCGTCCTCCGCGCGGCGTTTGAGGAATTTGGTGCGCCCGACGAGGCGGAGCCAGCGAGGCGAGGCTCCGTGTCCGACCTGGCGTGCGTCTGCCGGGGCGAGCCCCTGCTCGTGTGCAGCACCGGCCCCCAACCAGACGCGCTCGAGGGGCTGACCGTCCCGCCGAACGCCGTGTGCCGCAGCTACATCCCGCAGGTCGACCTCCTCTCCTCAGGCGCGGTGGGCATGTTTGTGACGCACGGCGGCCAAAACTCGTTCACAGAGAGCATGGCGAACGGCGTCCCGCTGGTCGTCGTCCCCGGGTTTGGCGACCAGCCAGTAAACGGCCGCAAGGCGGAGCGCTTGGGCTTGGGCGTCGCGGTGCCCCGCCCGCAGGAGGACAGCGCAGCGGTAATCGAGGAGTACGTGCGCGACTTGCGCCAGGCGATGCGTGGCGTGCTCGAGGGCGAGTCGTATGTCGCAAAGGCACGGGCGATGGCGGAGGCGATCAAGGGCGCCGGGGGAGCGGAGAGAGCGGCGGAGATCGTGGTTGGGCTCGCATAGGGGGCGTGACCTTCGCGCGCCCCGAGCGGTGCGCGGTCTTTGTGTGTCTGTGCGCGCTAAATTTCCTTCTCCCTTGAAACGCTGCAGCTCAACCGCGCGCATTCTTCACTGAGAACATGAACAACATCTACAACGAGGGGACGCATATGCACAGCGAAACATGGAAGGTCCGCAGAATCTCACATTGGGTCTCCCATTGTTGAAGCAGATGCGCGCCAGCAAGTCAGCACTGTCGCGAGCCGGGCAAAGAGCTATGCACGGCGCATCAGTAGAAGGGCATGAAATCGAACGCGTCGAGCACTGCAGCGGTGTGTGAGGACTGCGGCCCATGTCCCGCCACCATAGCGTCCTGCATGGGTGGCTTGGCGGCCTTTGCGCCAAAGTCTTCAGGCCGGCTCCTCTCGGCCACTTGCCGGCCGCGGTCGGCAAAAACAACGTTCATGTCGGGCTTGTAGCCCTGTTCGGTGAGATATGGGTCCCACCACATGCCTTGCGTGGAACCTACGTTGCCTCGGCCTTTGTAGTTCCAGCCACCGCTCCCCGACCCCGTGTAGCCCGGTGTCGAAGTCGGCATGCCTGCTGACGCGTGGTAGCTGGGGCTCCGTGTGGCTGGGCGGCCAAAGGGACGGCCGCGAACCGTCGGCTCCCAGCCGAAGGGGAAAAGCTCGTTGCGAGAAACCGGAATTTGAGTTCCCGATGACGCATCTTCATCTAAATTGGGTGTTTCGGCCATTATTCCGCATACAGGCTAACCTGGGTGAACCCGCGCACGGGGAAGCTTCACGCTGCTTTTGATCGCGCGGTCGGTCAGTTACTTACTCGATGGACAAACCAAAAAAACCCTACCAAGGTAATGTGGACTGCTGACAGGGTTTGCGATGAGGAGCGAAGGGTTCTTCGGGGTTAGCGCACCAGTGTGTGTCTCGCGCCTTGCCCGGGGGGGGGGGGGGGGGCGAAAAGTAAGGAAGGAGGAACCTCTTCCCAAAAAGCACCACTCTTGGAGCGCCGCCACCAACCACGCCACCCAGGGCTGCAAGCAGCGCCGGGAAATGACGGCTTGCCACCCACCCAGCCCCCCCTCGGCAAACCCCAGCAGCCAATGGGTGACGGCTCGAGCCCCCTATAAAGTCACCACTAACCCCCTCCCCAAAAGCACTAGCGGGCTCATACTCTAGCACCCCACCTCGGGAAAACCTCCCGAGCCTCGTCTGAACTGTTTTTTGTTTGGAGCGCGCCATGTCGCCGCGCGTTTCATAAATAAAATATATAACGGATGCATCTCCATCAAGATCTGCCTTCGGTTTCTTTTCCGATACCGCAGCGGACGGCGCCAGAGTTGCTCAACGTCGACACCGATTGCGCCTATTTCTCCACCCCCCGGCTGAGAAAATATGTTAGCCGCCGACAAGATGCTGCTGCGCTCGCAGGTCAAGCAGCAGGCCATTGCGCTGCGGGAGAAGGAGCTTAACCTCTTCAACAGCAACTTTTCGGCAGTGGCGACGCAGGCGGCGCTGCTCGCCGGCTTCTCGATGGCGTTTTTGGAAATGTCGGTGCATCTGCACGGCACGCACTACAATCCGGTCGCCAAGGGTCTGCTCCACCTGTTCGCCACCATCTGTATCTGCACAAACATCTACGTCGTGAGCGTCATCACGTTTGTGTCTGTGTGGGGTTCGGGAAAGGCGCTGCGGGGACGGGACGGCTCGATGGCCAAGGTGGTGGATGGGATGAACAAGGAGCGATGGCTCATCTTCATCACGTTTGGCATCGGGCTCATCTCGCTCCTCTCCGCCGTCGCCTGCTCAACTTGGCTGCTCATGCAGTGGGAGGCGCACGGGGCTCGGCTCACCCTCGGCTCCCGCGAGGAAAGGGAGAGAGTGGGCCCTGGCCGTAGGTGGCGGCGGTGGCGACGTCGCTGCTGAGCGGGACGTGCTACGCGCTCATCACTTCGGCGTGGCGCATCTTCAAGAAGTTTGAGCTTGCGCCCGGGGAGCTGGTGCGCTTCGACGACTTCCTGCGCAGCCTACCAAAGCAGCAGGAGGACGCTGACTTCGACGAGGAGGAGATGCCAGAGTCGCCGAGCAGTATGGTGATATGACGGGGAGCGTACTGTACGGCACGGGGCGGCGCGCTGTTCTCTGCTCGTGCGAGAGGCGGACGTCGCGCGAGAGCGGCGGCGTTTGGCAAGCGTTGCCTAGCTCCCCTTACGCGACTAGACACTGTCGCGCGAGATGACGCGCGCGCACGACACCGACACGACCACGAGCATGACGCACGAGAGCCGAGCGGCCCCGGGCCGCGCGTGTGCTCTCCGGCGGCGTGTGCACAGCTCGGCGAACTCGCGAGCGCCGAGAGAGTTTTGATATGCGCACACGATGTGCGGTGTGTACTGTGACTACTGTATCATTCTTTGGCCCGAAATAAGCAAAATCGTGTACCATGGCCCCGGCGCTCCCGCCCGGCGCTGGTGGCGCACCGCCTAGGTGTCCAGATTGAGCCCCTCCTTCCGCCTCTCGCCCCAGTGGCACAGCAGGGCCGCCGCCGGCGCCGCGCGGCCACCGCGGCCGCCCCGCGTCTCGACGCGCCCCGGAGCGGGGTCGCGCAGAGCGAGGTGCCGGACTGTCACAATGGCACCGGGGTGCGCCGTGTAGTGCAGCAGCTTGCGCCGCCGCCAAAAGCCGCGCAGCGCCGCCTCGCCTGAGCCGAGACGCATCTTGCGCGCCACCCCGGTGCGGCGGCTGCTGCGGAGGCCGGCGGCGGAGCGCTCGTTGCGCCTCTCGCGCTCGCGCCGCTCGGCGACGACGCGCCGGCAGGCGAGGATCGAGTCGACGTAGAAGCGGAACGGAATGTCCGACATCTTGCGCTGCAGGCTCGCATAGTGCATGAACTTGTCGCGCCAGCGCCCGTACGGGCACGACTCAAAGTGCATCAGCATGGCGCTCTCGAGCGGGACCAGCCACTCGACGCCGGTGAAGCGGTGCGAGCCGCTCGCCGCGGTTGAGCCGACTCGCCCGCCCGCCTTGCCGTTGACGTAGCACAGGAACAAGTCGTCGTCAAGGAAGAAGCGCGAGATGGTCGTGAAGTCGGAGCCGGCGTGATCGGGCACCGCCTCGACGTTGGTGAGGACGAGGCAGTCAGCATCACGCGGAACGCGCCGCACCACCTCCTCCCACGGCTCACAAAAGTGGAGCAGCTCGTCGTCGTCCACATGGAAGAGCCAGTCGACCCCGTGCACCGCGCACCCGGCGAGCGCCGCGTTGACGTGCGCCTCCTGGCGGTCGATGAGGGTGAAGTAGGGATTGGACTGCTCGCTCGCCACCGATAGCGTCACGAAGCCCGCCGCGTGCGCCTCGCAGTACGCGACCACATCGGGAGACTGCTCGACCGCGAGAAAGACGTGCGCCGCGCCGAGCCGCCGGTAGTAGTCGAGCCACGCGCCGAAGCGGTGAGGGTTTCGCGTCACCGTGGCGATGGCGAACGAGGGCGCGGCGGTCGTGGGGCGCTTCACACGGCGTGCGTGCGTCGGCGGAGAAGAGGGTTCCATGCACATGGGGGCCAAGGCGGCGCCGTTGGAACCGCGGGAGACTGGCACGGGGTCTCTTTTTTTTGAGCTTTGCCTTCGATGTTGGAAACAAAGCAGGCGGACATGGCATATCGCTCTCGGGCCCACAGACATCCCGCACACCTGCCGCCCCCGCGCGCGCCCCACCCCGGCCGGGAGAAAGGGGAGTGACAGCTTGGGATTGAAAGCCGAGAACCTCGCACTCCATGTGCGAGAACGCAGGGTAAATGTAATCCGGATGGCTCACAGGCCACGTCTTGCGCCCCGAGCTCACCATCTACCGCACTGAACACTTGCGCCCCCTCGCTCCCAACCCATCCACCTCGGGCCGCGCCGCGCGATCTCGGGCGATCTCGCGCTATCTCGGGTGATCTCTCGGGGCCGCGCTGTTCAGTGTTCTCTTTTTTCGTGACAGGCGGCACGCGAAGACTGGTGGCAATCCCGCCGACCGCAGTCCAGGATGATGTGTGCGTGGTCATGTAGTGGGTCTCGGAAGCTCTCCTCTCTCGGCACTCGGGCTAGGGGCCTGTACCCCTCTCCCTTGCCCTCGGAACAGTGTTGTGTCCGAGTCCGAGGCCTCTTTCACACAACCCCGGCCTCCTTCACTAACGTAGCTAGGATTCCATCCTCTGCCATTTAGGCCGCAATTTTGCACAATATACACCATCACACAAGATCCTGACATCAAAACAAACTCTTTGTCCTCCCGCTCAGATCTCCCCCGAGCGCGGGTCGCCAGGGTACACGCCGAGCACGTTGAGCACGTCGCGGAAGTTGAGGCCGACCGCGCCGACGTGCAGCTTGACCTCGCCGTGGACCGGCTCGGAGTCGTCCTCCTCTTGCGACACCACCCGCAAGTTGCTGACGGCGCCGCGTGCGTCGAAGTAGAGCTTGATCGGCCCGCCCAGCGAGCCGGCCGCCTCGGTCAGGCGCGGCACGCGCTGGCTCGAGCCGTCAAGGTGAGCACCACCAGGCTCATCACGCCAGACACGGCAGGCTGCAGCGTCGCCTGGAAGGCCAGCGTGCCCTGCTCCAGGCTGATGAGGCCGATGCCGCTGGCCTGGATGCGAGCGTTGATCGACTCGTCCGCCGCCATGCCGACGGCCGCCCACGGGCCCCACTCGACCGACGTCGCGTTCATGGCGCGCGTCCGCCGGCAGGCGCCGAGCGAGTCGAGCATGCCGTTGGCGGCGGCGTAGTTGGACTGGCCGCCGCCGCCGATCAGAGCGGCGATGGACGAGAAGAGCACGTACGTGTCGAGCGGCGACGTCGCGGCCGCCTGCTGCAGCGCCCACGCGCCGGCGACCTTGGGCGCGAAGACGCGCTTGACCGTCGACGAGTTCTGCGCGCGCAGCAGCCCGTCCGACAGCACGCCCGCCGCGTGCCACACGCCCGCCAGCGTGCATCCCTTGGCCAGGATGGCGCCGACCATGCGGGCCGTGTCCGTCAGCTCCGCCGCGTCGCACTTGACCACGCTGAAGCCGCACTTGGCGATCTTCTTGAGCTTCTCGCCGTCCGCGGGGGCGACCTTGCCGCCGCGGGCCGCGAGCACCACCGAGGAGACGCCGCTCTCGCCGAGCCACTTGCCCGTGACCAGGCCGAGGCCGCCCGTGCCGCCGGACAGCAGGTGGGCCCCGCGCGGCGGCGTCGGGGCCGTCTTCGGGATGCGCACTACCACCTTGCCGGTGTTGGTGCCGCTCTGCAGCGTGCGGAATGCTTCGAGCACGTTCTTCTCGAGGTCGAAGGTCTGCAGCGGCAGGCCGTGGAGCACGAACGCATCCGCACGGCCCGAGAGCAATTGCAGAGTACCGCGGACCCAGACAGGCATCTGGTCGATGGTCGAGTCGAGCGCGATCATCGTGAAGTTCGAGTGCAACGCCGCCGCGTGCCGCTCGTAGCTCCACACCGCCCGCTTGCCGATCTCGCACAGGCGGCCGTCCTGCCGCAGCAGCGCAAACGTGCACGCGATGAAGTCCGCAGACAGGCTGTTGAGCGAGAAGCGCAGCCGGCCGGAGCCGAGCAGCTTCGACGCCCCCAGCGCAAAGGCACCCATGTCGCGCGAGCTGAGCAGCCGCCCGGTGAGGCCCATGCGCGCGAGATAGAAGTGCTTGTACGGCCGACCGACATCGGCCATCGCGCGGTTGCCGATGAAGTGGCAGTACTCTTGCGAGGCGAGGCCGACGCCGCCCGCGCCAGCGTGCAGAAGCACGTCGTGGCCAGAGGTCGGCCGGGCCGCGAGCAGCGACATGTGCACCGTCGCCCAAGTGGTGGGCAAGGTGCAGGCCTGCTCGAACGAGAGCGACTTGTCGATCGCAGCCATCAGGCGCGAGTCGGAGCGCGCCACCGAGGCGAGCGCAGCCAGGCCGTGCCCGAGCGCCGCGTCGCCAACCTTCAGATGCGAGACGCCGGCGCCGCGCGCGGCGATGACCGCCGCGCAGTCGGAGCCGGGCGGGCCCGGGTCGCCGGGGTAGGCGCCGAGCACGTTGAGCACGTCGCGGAAGTTGAGAGGCGATGCCACGGGGCGATGCGGAGCTGTTGACGCAGCGAGCCTTGCCGATGCGAGAGAGCCGTGCCGGGTGCTCGTGCACCGCTGTTGGAGCGGCCGTTCCTCTGCCGGGTGGCAAAGATGCGGCGCGCACGCCGGCGTCGTGACCTCGCCCTGCTCTACTTAGTAGAAGTCGGCCGATAAGTTCGCGGACGAGATAACTGTTCAGATAGGAATCGCCGAGATTCATTATGGGTTGTCGCAGGGGTACTAAACTTAAAGGGATTTTTTAAGGCTAAAAGGCGCTTCCCGGTTCGAGGTAGTGTGCGTTTCTGTGAAGACGAGCCTGTCGCGCCAGTGACGCGGCCTCTCGACCAACCGCTGCACACAGCAGCCATGGCCGTGGCTCTTCTTCTCGCGCCGCCGCTCACCGCCTGCTACACGCCGCCCGGGCTGCTCGAGGGCCTTGTCGCGCAGAAGCGCAGAGAGGTGGAGAGGCTGCGGCGGATGCCCGAGGCGCGGGAGGACGGTTCGTGGGCCTTGCGGCTCGGCTACCCCACCTCTGACACGTCTTTCGCGCTGACGCGCGCGATCGGCTGGAAGCGCGAGCGGCCCGCCGTGCTGGCCGACCTCAAGCGGATGTCGCCCGGCGCCAAGCTCGGGCAGACGGACGTGGTCTGCGAGGTTCTCGATGCCGCCATCGCGATAGACGACGCGATCGACGCCAACCTGGCCGGCGCGCTGGTCGCGATCGACCGGACGAGCTACGGCGGCAGCGCCGAGGACCTGATCGCGGCGCGCCGGCGTGCCGACGAGGCTGCGCGCAAGGGGCTACCGACGCTGCCTCTCGTAGCCAAGGACTTGGTCATCGACCCGCTGCAGGTATGCACACATGCACATGCACATGACACATGCACATGACACATGTGCATGTAGGAAGGTGAAGAACAGCCAGGCTCGGACTGGACACCAGCGTGGTATGGGTGGACGCGGGACAGATGACGACGACACGCTCGAGCGACACACAGACACACACAGGCTCTCACACGCAGGTTGCCCGCGCCGCCTCCCTCGGCGCCGACGCCGTGCTCCTCGTCGCCGGCGCGTGCGTGGACGACTTTTCGCTGCTGCTCGACACGTGCACGCTGCTCGGCGTCGAGGCTCTGGTCGAGGTTCACACGCCCGAGGAGGTCGAGCTCGCCGGCAGAGCGCGGCGCGGCGCGCCATTTCTTTTTCAGCGCGTTTCTTTTTTACAGGTGCTCGCCGGCAGAGCGCGGCGCGGCGCGCCATTTCTTTTTCAGCGCGTTTCTTGTTTACAGGTCGAGCTCGCCGGCAGAGTGCGGCGCGGCCCGCCATTTCTCGTTCAGCGTTGTTTCTTTTTCCAGGTCGAGCTCGCGGCGGAGTGCGGCGCGGGCCTCTTCTTGGTGACGGAGCGCGACCGCGCCACCGGCCGCGTGCAGCGAGGACAGGCGCTCTCCTCCCCTCTCCTCTCCGCTCTCTCTCTCCTCTCTCCTCCTCTCCTCTCCGCTTTGTCCTCCCTCCTCCCTCCTCCCTCCTCCCTCCTCCCTCCTTCCCTCCTCCCTCCTCCCTCCTGCTCCTTCCTCCCTCCTCCCTCCTCCCTCCTCCCTCCTGCTCCTTCCTCCCTCCTCCTCCTGCTCCCTCCTCCCTCCTCCCTCCCCCCTCCTCCGCACCTCTACTCGTCACCGGCCGCGTGCAGCGAGGGCAGGCGCGGCGGATGGCGCCGCTGCTGCCGCCCGACGCGATCAGCCTCGCCACGGGAGGCGTTGCCAGCATCGACCAGGCACCGTGCGCGTGCGCACACACATGCACACACACACACACACACATGCACTTGCACACACACACACACACACACACACACACTCACACACGCACGCACGCACGCACGCACGCACGCACGCACGCACGCACGCACGCACGCACGCACGCACGCACGCACGCACGCACGCACGCACGCACGCACGCGCACGCGGCCTTGCACCCTCAATGCCGCGCCAGCGCCTGCCGTTGGACGCGGAAGTCGCGAGGGCTGCCCGGCCCTTTCCCCACCGCCTCGTCCACGTCCATGTCCACGTCCGTTTGTACCTTGCCTCACCTTTCCCTCCCCCAGGTTCGGGAGCTGCACGCCGCGGGCTACGACGGAGTGGTCCTCGGCCGCTCGTACCCAGGCCCCCCCTTGCCCCGCCACCATTGTGTGTGTGTGTGTGTGTGTGTGTGTGTGTGTGTGTGTGTGTGTGTGTGTGTGTGTGTGTGTGCGTGTGTGCGTGCGTGCGTGCGTGCGTGTGTGTGGAGACATCTACCTGACCTCCCCTTCCCTTGCCCTCGCCAGGCGCCTCTGGCAGGAGGCTGGTCGAGGAGGTGCGGGCAGAGGAGCCGCGCCTCCGCCTGGTCGAGCCGATCACGGTCCGCGAGCCCGGAGACCCGCTCGAGCCGCTCGTCGAGGAGGAGGCGGAGGCGGGCGGCGGAGGGCGGGCGGGCGGCGGGGAGGGCCCCGTGTTTGACGTGTAGCGACGTGAGGGCGCGGGGGAGGGGGCCAGGGCCCGGCTGAGGTCTCGTGAGTCGTGTTCACACTGTTTCAGCGGAGAGCGGAGACCGGCCGTCTCCCTCTTTCTCTCTGCGCGAAATATCTACGCGTAGAGCCGTGTTTCCAATGCTTGGACAGTCCACACATGACAGGCACGGGTCACGGCCGAGCCCAGAGGCCGCCGCGCGCGCGCTAAGACACATGTCATGGCGTTTGGCGGTGGCCGGTGGAGGGCGATCCATGTTTCCCCCTCTCACATAGATTCTGATCATGATTCTGACTCACAAGAGGCTGACATGTGGGGTACTAATCTGACGGTCGACTGATCTAGCGCTCCTTGCACGTGCACTTCTCCCGGCGCAACCTCACAGGATCTCGCTGAACGACTGCCGCTTGTTTTTGACCGGCAAGTGCGTGCTGCGCGGCGTGGCCGCCACGGCGTCGGGCAAGATGGGAGCGACCACCTTGGATTGGACGAGCGAGCCGCGAAGCGAGGTGCGAAACACCGACTGTCGGACCGAGTTGTCGATGCGCCGCGTCGGGCTGCCGGCGCGCTGCTTGACAACCCACTCTTTAGGGGGCGGTGGGAGCTTGGGCTGCTGCGGCTTTGGGCGCGGCGTCTGGCTCTCGAGGTCGCCGGATGAGGCCGTCGACTGGAAGGCGTAGCTCTTGCTGTTCCAGCGGAGCCTGAACTTTGGCGGCTGGCCGTCCGAGCGCTCGGACCGCGCGTCGATCAGCCCTATGCCGCGCGCAGCTGCACTCGAGGAGCCCTGGCGGTACCGCAAGGCAATAGCCAGCGCGAGCAAGGCGGCAGAGGCGGCAGCGAGGACGTAGGCATGCTCGGTCGCGAAGCGCATCACCACGACATCCAGCTGGTCGTCGGCGAGTGTCCCGTTGGCGGCCACAAGAGGCGGCTCTACGGAGCTACTCGCCACGTACGGCTCGAGCGCAGCGAAGTGGCGGGTCTCCTCGGCGTCGGCACACCCGCCAAGACGGTCGGACCAATATTCGAGCCACTCCAAGGGGTTGATGTACTCCAGCGGGTGGTAGAGCGGGTCCAAAAGGTTGGTGCAGACTCGCGACGATGCGGCGGAGGGAGAGGCTGCGGCGGAGGAGGAGGAGACTGACATGGACGTAGGTGGGTCGGATTGGCCGTGCGAGTTTGGCGAGGCGCCCTCCTTGCCTCGTGCAATATGGGATTTTTTCTTTTCTCAATGGCTCTTTATACGTACATTCCCGTAGGAGGACTCTGCTGACAGGGTTTGCGATGAGGAGCGACCCGAAGGGTTTCTCGGAGGTTAGTGCACCACTAACCGCCGAAGCACAAGCACTTGGAGCAAGAGAACTACGTACGTACGACCTGGATCGACGACCTATAAATAAATAAATAAAACGGGCACGCCAAACGAGGGGTGGGAGAGGGACAGGGGATCTTGCCATAAAACTCGGCGATGGGCACGTTGTTCTGCATCCGCCATCCGACGAGCGTCTCGACGGACTGTGTGCCGGCCGATTGCGGCGGTCAGCCGGGGTGGGGCGGGAGGGGGCGAAGGGCGGGAACATTCTTGATGCAGAAGGGGGGGGGGGGGCAAAAAAGGCCCCGGCTGCCGGGCGTGGGACGGCACCTGGCCAGCCCCAGCGAGCAGGACGTGCTCGAGTGCCTCGAGAACGGCGACGCGGACGGACGAGTGGCGATGGTGCAGGTGCGGCAGCACCGCTTCGATGAGCCTCGCAGAGTACGGCTGCACCGCCTTGCCGCCCATCGACTTCACCATCGGCGGCAGCACCTCGCGGCCCACCAGCACCATCAAGGCGCACGCGCCGCGCAGAGCCGGCGGGTAGTTGTCGCGGCAGACGCCGAGGACGATCGAGCCTATCTCGGCGACGTACGGGCGCAGCAGAGCGCGCACTTTGAACAGAGCCTTCGTCGTCAACGAGACGAGCGCCGACCGCAGCTCTTCGGAAGGCTCCGCAGTCGCCTCGGTGCCGAGCCGCTCGACGAGCACCGGCAGGAGAAAGGGCAGGGAGCCGGAAACGTCGGCTACGTCGGCGCCCTCGACCCACTGCTCAAAGATGCTCGCGGCGAGCTCGCGGCATCGCTCGGACGGGTCGGCGAAGCGGAGCAGCAGAGGGCGGAGCAGAGACTTGCGCTGGTCGCCGCCCAGTGGCAAGCCGCAGAGCTGCTGAAGCGCGGCCTGCCTTGACGCGGCGGTGGGGTCGCCGAGGAGGTTAACGAGCCGGTCAAAGGTGGCGGATCCGCTGCCGGGCGCAGTGTCGGCATCCTCCGCCTCATCCTCCTCGTCATCCGAGTCTTTGGAGGAGTGCAAGCCCCGAAGCTGGCCAGCGGCGGCTGCCTTGCCAACTTGTGATTTGCGCAGGGCCAGCACCGACTTCATTCGGTCGGCGGCCGCCGCCTGTTGGTCCGATGGCTTTCGGACCGATGAGGGTTGCGACTCCTCTCCCTCGCTGTGATTCTGTGGCAGGTTCGGTGTTGCAGATGCCAGGGCCGAATGAGGGCGGAATCGGGGTCACGGTCGCCTACGCCGGTGGCGATGCCGCTCCCTTTGCGGCTGGGGCGAATCTGCCACGTGCTCGGGATCAAGCCGGGCCCGAACCTTGTGCTCACCGCTCGCATGGCGGCATCGGCGGTGCACGTCGACCCGAGCGGCGGCCTGCTGCACCAGGTGGCCCGGCTCGAGCACCGCGTCTGCGAGTGGGGCCTCGGGGAGGCGCGAGGCGCGTTTCGCCCCGTCTGCGCGTGCGGCCGCGTCCCGTGTGGCTACGCGTCCCATCATTACTGCCGGTGGATCGCTCCAGAGGCGGTGGGCGGCCACTAGAAGGCGACTCGTTAGCGAGTCGAGTGGCTCGCACATGCCGGAGGGGCTGTCGCGCGTCTTTGGAGGTAAGGTCGCACCGTCCACCATCATGTTACTTCGATACGCTTGATTCCGGCGCTTGTTTTTTGCGCGCTCTCTGACTCTCTGTACACAGTAACACACATAAACAGAAGCGTCCTCTCCTCTCTCGCGTCCACCCATAGCGCTTTGGTGTCCAGTCCGAGCCAGGCTGTTCTTCGCCACACAGTGTTCGCAGTGATGTCTGATCACGAGTGAACCGCACAAAATCTCGCTGCGGAGTTCTGAGGGCCGCCGGATTTTTTAAGACCTTTTAATAAATGAGGAGGTTTGGCGGGGCCGCCGCTGAAATTGTCGTTTAAGAGATTGCACAGGCACGGGGGCGGGGGACCGCGGTTTAAGAATTTTACAACAAAAAACTCTCGTCCCTCGCACGACACTGGGCACGGGACTGGCGCGCACTGGCACTAACACATTCATAATATTACTACATATAGCATAAAAGGAGCAAGTGTACGGGTAAAAGCTAAAACTCTTCGGCGGCCTCCGCAGCCACCTCAGCCACCGCCCCGGCGGCGTCCAAGGCCAGCTCGGTCACATCGACGGCATCTGAGAGAGCTCTCTGGTACGAAATGGGGGGTACGAAATGGAAAAGGAGCATTTCGCGAGAAGTCCCCGCCCACATTGCAGTCTTTCGGAAATTCGAAACTTTCGTCAATTCGTCTATTCTGTAATTTGAAATTCGAGAACGATCAACAGAGGAGAGCTCAATTATAGAGGTGACATCGCGAATCCGGATCGTGAAACGAAGGAGCGTCCTTCGGGCTTCGCTAACCCCTAACGCTGAACGCGCGATCAGATGGCAGGTCTACATGCTCCGAAAGGGGTCAGCTGCTGGAGGGCGGCGGCGCGTCAAAGAGCGCGTTGCCCATCGCGCGCAGGCCGTAGACGGAGCGCAGCTCCGTGTCGAAGTACGGCACCTGCGTGACGTCGACCGCGCAGCGGGCCGCGAGGTCGTCGAGCTCGGCGAGGCACTGCCGCTGCCCGTTGGCGAGCCTCGCGACGTACCCGTCCGCCACGTCGGTCGCGATGAGCCGGTTGACGACGCCGCGCCGCACCGCGATCCCCTCCCGCCTCAGCTCGAGCAGCAGCCGCTCCGCCTCGTTGAGCGAGAGGGCCGTCGCGATGGTGACGATACAAAACTCGGTCGTCTCCGGGTCGTGCAGCAGCGCCTGCAGCGCCTGCATCTGGGCCTGGAACTCCTTGAGCTTCGTCACCGCCGTCGGCTCGTCGGGCGCGTCTGCGGGTGCGCCTCCGCCTCCACCGCCGCCGCCGCCGCCGAACACCTTGCCCAGCAACTGCTGCGCACCGCCCAGCATGTTGGCGGCGCCGTCGAAGCGCGAGCGGAGGACGAGGAGGCGGGTGATGAAGCGGTCGAGGAAGTCGGGGAAGGTGAGCAGCCGCAGCGTGTGGCCGGTCGGCGCCGTGTCGATGACGACGCGGTCGAAGTGGATGCCGTAGGCGTCTCGCTGCGCGAGGGCGACAATCTTTGAGAGGGCGATGAGCTCGTCGACACCGGGCGGCACCGCGTCGAAGATGTCCGCGAAGTCGGAGAGGCCGAGACCCTGTGCCGAGGCGGCGCCTCCCTCGTCTGATGAGACGCCGCCCACCAGCCGCTTGAACTCGGCGACGGCGTCGTCCACCTTGACCTCGCACGCGTACAGCGACGCGCCCGCCACGCCCTCCACGCGCACAACCTCGCCCGACGAGAGGTCCGTCTCGAGCGCATCGCCGAGAGAGTGCGCGGGGTCCGTCGAGACGAGCAGCGTCGAGTGGCCGTCCGTCGCGAACTGCACCGCCAGCGAAGCCGAGGTCGTGGTCTTGCCGACGCCGCCCTTGCCGCCGACGAGGACGAACCGGTCCTTTTGGTCGGCCAGCAAGTCCTCCCATGCGTCGGCGTTTGTGCCGCGGAAGGCCTGCGAGGCGACGTACTGCAGCGGGAAGACGCCCCGCATCTCGAGGTCGAAGAAGGGCAGCCGCGAAAGCGCGAGCTCGCCGAGCGGGGAAGAGCCGTCCAGCCGCTTGAGCTCGCGCCCCTGCTCGGCCCGGATGCGGTCCAAGTAATCTCGGGTGATCTCGAGTGATCTCGAGTGATCTCGGGTGATCTCGGGTGATCTAGGGAGATCTCCTGCTCGGCCCGGATGCGGTCCAAGTATGCGGTGGAAGAGGCACCGTCCACGACCTGGTTGACGATCAAGTGCGAGACCGGCACGCCTTGGTCGGCGAGGGCAGACAGCAGCCGCGCGCACTCAGCGACGGCGAGGCGCGACGGGATGCCGACGACGACGAAGTCGGTCACGTCTTCGTCGGTGAGCAGCTCGCGCAGCGAGGCGACGCGGTCTCGCCAGCGCTGGAGGCGCGCGACGGCGGCCTCGATCTTGTCGGTGGGGTCGTTGCCTCCCAGCACGCCCTTGAGCAAGCCGATGGCGGCGAGGAGGCGCGCCTTGAGCGCCACGACCTTGCCGAGAAGGCTGTCGAGGAACTCTGGAAAGGCGAGCAGCCGCAGCGTGTGGCCGGTGGGCGCCGTGTCGAAGACGACGCGCTCAAAGCCTGTGAGCGAGGCTGCGCCGTCGCTGTCTGGCTCGGCGCCGCGCACGACCGCCAGCGTCTCAGCGAGGGCAAGCAGCTCGTCGAGGCCGGGCGGCACGTTGTCGAGGATGTCGGCAAACTCGTCGAGACCGAGCTGGCCGAGCACCTCTTCTGCGAGTCCGCCCAGCCCGAGGTCGGCAGCGCGGAAGCCGCTGACTGCGGCGCGGAAGCGGTCGACCGCGTCGGCCGTCTCGACCTCCATCGCCTGCAGGTTCTCGCACCCGGCCACGCCGACGGGCGAGCCGCCAGACACGTCCTGCATCAGCGCATCCGAGAGAGAGTGCGCCGGGTCGGTCGAGACGATGAGCGTGGAGAGGCCCGTGTCGGCGAGCCGCACTGCGATGGCGCTCGAGCTCGACGTCTTGCCGACGCCACCCTTTCCACCGACCAGGATGAGCCGCTGCGCAGCGCCCTGCCCCGTGCCGGGCTCCAGCAGCGAGGCGAGAGGCGTCGCGGCCGGAGCCACGCAGCGCACCGCGGCGGCACGGTGCTGAGGCAGCGGCGAGGTCCAGCGCGTCGGCAGCGTCCGGTGCGACGCAAGCAGCGTGAAGACACTCAACTGGACCGATTGGAGCATACACACGACGGAGCGGGACGACTGGCGAGCACACGCCTGGGGCCACCCTCCATCGAGGTCTCGTGGAGCAGCCCTGCAAAACCTCAAACCCCAATACCCTCTCGGATCCCTTGATATGAACCGCCAAATGCACATACCTTGAAGGTGGTCCGATGAAAGCCCACCCATGTAGCTCTGTGTCTTGGTTTGCCAACAACATACCTAAAACGAAAATGTAGGACCGACACTGGACCGACGGGCGACTTGACGGGCGCCGGCCGCCGCGCCGCGTGCGGACAGGCCGCGAGTCCCGCTCCCCCGACGACGGCGGACCACCTCGCCTCAAGTCGAACGAACCCTCGATGTGCGGGGGCAGTGACTCGTGGAGGAGCTCTAGAGTTTTACAACAAAGCTCCCTCGCACGAGCTCTAGAAAGCTGCCGCCGGGTCCAACCGACCGGACGGACGCCCAGTAGCGCCGGGGGCGGCAGACAGAGAGAAGAGAGAGTTGTTTGGTGCTCATCCTTCTGTGTTTTAGGTCTATGTGTTCGGCGTCGCGCTGGTTTCTTTATTTATGTCAAAAAGAAAATGAAATTCAATCGGGATTTGCCGCAACGGTTTTTTTCAGGGAGCTAAAAAAAACGCTCATGAGTGGACTTGCAAACACTCGAAAACACCTGCATTGGATCCCGCATTTCAACACGCACCAAACAGGCGCCAAGACCCGTCAGTGCAGCTCATCTCCGATGGTCAAGCGCCTGCGCATACACCACCGTTTGAACGTCACCGTCGTGGCGCAGGACACCCGTGGTCCACCATCCAGTGGCGGGGGTCAGAGGGCCCCCGATGGCGGCGACATTGATGGCAGTGGGGAGAGCCTGCCGCGCCCCCCGCGCTGTGCTCCAGGCTGCGGAGTCCACGGGACTTGCGACGAGTGGCGGTCGCGTTGCGACTGCCCAATCGGCTTCACTGGCGAGGCCTGCCAGATAGCGACGCTTCCTGCGTGCCAGCTGGGCAATCACCTCCTGCCCATTCGATCTTGGATCCTGCTGGCGCTCTTTCGGCTACACCGCGGGGGGAAGGCGAAAGAGGTGTCAGACCGAGGCATCGGGCCGGTGCCATGTGCTTGCCTGCACGCTCTGGTCGAGACACCCTTCCTCCTGGAGCGCACACGGCTCGAGGACCTCGCCAGCTTTGAGCCGCACTGCGTGCACCTTCCGCCCAGCCTGAGTCTGAAGAACTTTCTCACCGTCCCCGCAGTGTTCACCAACGTGAGCTGGCATCGCTTCTCATTCGCCGCGGCGCTTGCGGCGCATCGTCTACAACTTCCCGCCTCACTGTGGAGCGAGACGGTATGGCCTATGAACGCGACGCTGCTGGCGAGTGCTGACGCGCATCTCGAGCAGCAGTTTGACCTTCGCTTCGACGCCCGGGATAGAAGAGATGCAGTGGCGTTTGCGCGACGCACCGTGCGCGGCTCGGCGCCCCCGCTGCTGCGTAGCTCGCCTGCGCCTGAGCGCTCTCGCCTCCTACCCCTGGACGCGTGCAGCAGTCAGTGCGGGGGCCGAGGCTGGTGCGCCGAGTCCGCCGAGTCGGGTCACGGCCAACGTGTTGTGTGCGGCTGCTTCACTCCGCACGGGCTGTATGAGCTATACGAGGAGGAAGGGCACGCTCAAACTGACGGTGCGTGCCCCTTCGAGCCACGCGCCTCGTCGCAGCCCGGCGCGCTCATGCTCTCACCGCGCTGCCTGATCGACTGCGGCGGCAACGGTGCGTGTGACTGGATGGGGTTCTGCAAGTGCAAAGCAGGATTTTGGGGGCCGGACTGTGGCGTAACCCACGCTGCGCACCGGCACTCACTGCCGCACGGGCCCCGGATCGTCAGAGCTGCGCGTGACCCCAGCACACGAGCACGGCCGCGCGGCACATGCCCGCGCATCCACGTGCCGACGCTCCCGCCGTTGCTGCGCTTCGGGATCTCGATTGGCGAGGAGCTGCACCACCGACTGATCGAGCGCGTTCTCACCTCCGACTGCCGCGAGCCGACGCTGGAGCGTGCGGACTACGTCTGGCTGCTGGCGCCGCAGTTCGCGGTGCATTTCCTCCCCGCCCGCCCGCCTCCCTGTCCCCTCGCCCGCCCCCCTGCGGCCCAGCGCGCACTGAGGGCCTTTCGTTGTGGTGCAGAAAGATGTCCACCGAGTACTTGCTTTGCGCCACCACTTGCTGACGGCGGAGCCGCTCGGGCTCGGAGCGCGCTACCTGCAGGTGTTGCCTGCGGACCGTGCATTCAGCGAGTCGCTAGAGCTCGCTGCGCCTTGGTTCGAAGTCGAGGAGGTCTGGTGGCCCGAGCTCTCGCGAGCGCCTCACGTGCTCGCGCTGAGAGACCTCGGGTGCAACCGGCCTGCGCGGCTGGTCTCACCGGATCCGCGGCTTCGAGGCAGCGAGGCGGTGGCGGCGGCGAGCGAGGTGGCCGAGATCTTCGTGTCGAATAGCTTGGACGCGCTGCGCCCGCTCCTCAATCGTGTCTTCCAAAGGTTGCACGCAATGCCGAGCTCTGTGTGGCAGGACGACTGCAACGAGCTGGACGATTGGATGCCGTGGTCGCGCACGAGGCGTTGGGCGGGCCTGCAATTCATCGGCAATCGGGACCACCCGGTACACTTCCAGCAGGGCCTCGACGTGGTCCTGCCGGTCTACTTGCTGTGCCGAGTGCAGGCGGGATGGGGGGCAGTGGTGCCCGGGGCAACGGCCGGGGTGACGTTCTTGACTGCCCCTGAGCACACCTGCTCTTGGCGCTCTACCCGCCATGTGCGTGAGCCCATCGCTGCCTCCCCCTCTCTTGCCTTGATACTCCCGGCCTCCGTTGACAGGGTGCCACACAGGCAACTCAACCTGGGGCTACTGCGCCGACGACTTTTCTTCCTGGTATCATGAGGTCGCCGTGCAACACACTGAGAACCTCGACGAGTCGGACACAATCGAGGGGTGGACCTTGACGTGTATGTGGGGGGCGGCGTTTGCCCCGGCGGTCCGGTCAGCGTCTTCAACTTCGATGCGTGGCCTGCGCCGCCGGAGGCGACATACGACTACGTTGGCCCCGTGCGCTTCGAGGTTACCCCGGCCGCATAGACCCTTTAGGCGGGTATCGGTCGTAGTCTCCGGCCGGATAGGTGCCGTGTGACAGCCCGCGCCGGCGCGTGGAGTGTGCTGAAGTCCCTCGCCTGAGTGTGCTACGCGTGCGTGCGCCCACCCCGATGTGTGTAAATTTTGCCCCGTGAAGGAAGAAGCAAGAACGGAAGAGGAGACGCGTATGTACACGCCCCTCGTGATACGACGCCGGGAGATGGCACGGCAATGGCACTTGCAACGGCTGATGCGCGCGGCGCTCTCTCTCTAGCTCTCTCTCTGTCAGATCTGGCATGGCCGAGCGTTTTTGATCTCTCGGTAAGTGGGGGGCCGAGCCGCCTCGGGGTGGCGGGCGGGCGGGCGTGTTGAAAAACAGAAAACAGAAAACAGAGGGGGGCCAGGGCCCCCACTACGATTAGACACACGCACCTGGCTCCTGGGTCAAGGCGAGAACGCGCAGCATGTGCAGTACCGTTCAGCGGAGGGGGGGGGGGGAGCCGAGGGGGCGACGTCCCGACACGGCAGCTTGGAGCTGACCCCGGGAGAGAGAGAGACGAGCGATGGCACGCCCCCAATGACCCTAGACAGACATGACGAGCCGACAGCGATGCAGCGGCAGCGAAGGCGGCGAGGAGAGCCCGCGCTGCAGAGCTCCGCCGGGCGGCGGCAGCAGAGACATCGGCGGACGGGGGAGCACGGGACACGTCGGCATAGGAGCCAGGGGGGTGGGAGAGTTGAGTCGTGCAGCAGCACCGTCTCGGCAGCGAGGCCGACGATGGCGACGGCGGCGACGTAGGCGAGACGGTGGCGAGGGTGGCGACGGTCACGATGAAGGTGGCTTGACGAAATGGATGACGCCATCGCGCAACATGACATCCTCGATGTCGTCGTCCTCGAGCCGGTTGAGCTCCTTCATCAGGAAGTGCATTGCCGTCGCCCGCTCCTTTTGCGGCGTCGCATGCGTCATCAGGTTGGGAAAGACTTTGACGAAAAAGTCATCGACGGAGAACTCGTCCTGCTCCTGCTCCTGCAGCTCCGAGATCGCATCTCGGATCCTCGCGCGCGCAGCCGACATCCACGGGATGATGGGGCGGTCGCCGCTCTCGTCCGACGACGTGTCTCCAACCTCCTCCACGGCGGACCCGGCGGCCTCAGGCGGCTCGGTTGGCAGCGTGATCGTGTCCGTCTGGAGCGAGTAGGTGAGCTTGCCCTCCTTCTCCAGCGTTGCGAGCGCCGCCTTCCACTCGCCCTTGTCACCAAAGCTGCGCTTCGGACTCACGGTGTCGAGTCCCGTCACCTCTTGGCGAAGCATTGAGCGGTAGAAGGACGTCTTGCCGCGGTCGGCGAACTTGGTCAGCGCCAGCAGGATCAGCTCGGAGAGGCTCGGCGGGCTGGCCGCCGCCGCTGCGGCGGCCTTCTTTGCGCGCTTGCGTGAGGCGGTTTCTTGTTTTTGTTTTTGTTTTCAGACTAGGGGGCCCGACCCCCTCAGAGGCGGCGGGCGGGCGCCCACTTACCGAGAGATCAAAAACGCTCGGCCCATCTGCTGTCTCGTCTGACTCCGCGGGGGCGCTCTCCGGCTCTCGGGTGGTGTCGAAAGGGGGACTCGGAGCGAGCGTCGTGGAGGTCAGGACGAACGCAGAACTTTCTCTCTTACTCTCACACCTCAACCCCCGCATGCCAACCAAGAGAGAGTACACCGCGCCACGAATCACCCAGCCCACGTCTCCGGTGCTGCGAGTGTTTTGCGTGAGAGCGCGCGCGCGGCTGCGGATATATCGCGCCAAGCCGTCCGTTGGGAACGGCGCGCGTAGCGGGCTGCAGCATCAGGGGCGAGCAAGCACCCTTTGCTAGCTCCCGCCGCCTCTGCCGCCGCCGCCCCCCTTGCCGCCGCCCTTGCCCTTGCCACCGCCGCCCTTGCCGCCTCCTCCCCCGCCCTTGCCGCCGCCGCCGCCGCCGCCCTTGCCGCCGTTGCGTCCTCCTCCACCGTCGCCCCGCGTCACGTTCAGCCCGGGCACGCCCTTGAGGCCCATCTTGCCCACCGTCTTCGCCTACAACAAAGGATCCGGCGTCCCACACACACACCAACTCGCATCGCCGTCTTGCCCACCGTCTTCGCCTCCAGGGCGGGGGGCGTCGACAGGCCAAGCACAACCGAGGCGTACTCGTTTGCGCGCTCGACCAGCTCCTCCTTGGACCAGCCGAGCCGCTTGAGGTACGAGTTGTAGAAGCCGAGCCACGCCTGGGGAGATATGGGGAGATGAGGGGGAGATGCGGGGAGATGTGGGAGATGCGGCGAGAGGGAGATGTGGGGAGATGGGGGAGGTGTGGGGAGATGTGGGGAGGGATGTGGGGAGATGGGCCGAGGTCCGCCGAGGTCCGCCGAGGTCCGCCGAGGTCCGCCGAGGTCCGCCGAGGTCCGCCGAGGTCCGCCGAGGTTCGCGAGTTCGCTGAGTGAGATTCGCTGAGATTCGCCTGGTAGCCGCAGCCGAGCGTGACGGACGGCAGCTTGGAGAAGGCGTCGGCGATGGAGGGCATCATCGAGGCGGCGACGCCCGCGGCGAGCGGCGGCCGCTTCTTGAGGGGCAGGTCGCGCAGGTCGTGGAGGAAGAAGGACTCGAAGTCGGCGAGCAGGAGGTAGCCGCCGCCGTTCTTGCCCGCGCGCGCCGTCCGGCCGAGGCGGTGGATGTACTGCGCCCTGTCAGACGGCATGCCCACCTGGGCGACACGTGGAGAGGGTCCGGGGACGGGGGCGTGGCGCGGGCGTGTGTGGAGGGCGTGTGTGGATGGCGTGTGTGGCGGGCGTGTGTGGTGGGCGTGTCGTGGAGCGTGGTGTCCCGTCTGTCGGATGATCCGGGGAGATGTGGGAGATGTG